ACCGGTGCCGGACTAGTATTTCCGCTCTCGTCCTGCCATACCATGGATGGCTTGAAAAGCCTTTCCACAAAGGTGTTAGGCGGGACGGGGTCGCGCTTAGCGCCCATGCGAGCAAGGATGTCCGCTGCCTGATTACTGTCTCGAGCCACATGGTGAAATTCAAGCCCCTTGAACCGGGCCGATATTTTGAGTACAGCGTTGCCGTAGGCCACCATCTTCGGATCTTTTACATCGAATTCTCCATTGATTTGAGATATCATGAGGTTTGAATCCCCTCGCACCTCAAGGCGTTGTATGCCCATAGAGACGGCCATCCGAAGTCCATGCAGTACAGCTTCATATTCAGCCGCGCTATTGGAGTCCGTATACATGATCTGTAATACATAGCGGACTGTGTCCCCTGTGGGGGATGTTAGGATGACACCAACCCCCAGTCCGGCTAACATTTTAGAGCCGTCGAAGTACATCACCCAGTTGGAGTATGTGTTGTACTCTTTAGGGAGTTCGGCTTCTGTCCATTCGGCGATGAAGTCAGCCAACACCTAATATTTAATAGCTCGACGTGGCTTGTATGTTATTTCAAGTGGCAAGAGTTCGATAGCCCATTTTGCAATGGGGTCGGTGCCATCTCGGTTGTTTATGATGTCGTTGAGTGGAACTTTAGAAGCCACCATGATCGAGCACTCTTGAAAGTAGTGTCGCAGCTTCCGAGATGCCATGAAGACCGCATAGGCTATCTTTTGATAGTGCGGGTATCGGGATTTGCATGGTGTAAGGACCGCCGATACATAATACACTGGTTTTGGAGTGGGAATTTGTGTCCCTCTTCCTCTCGTTCGACGACGAGCACATCGCTCACCACCTGGTGAGTTGCAGATATGTAGAGCAACATAGGCTCGTTGACGTTTGGTGCGGCAAGGATTGGGTTGTTTGCTAACAAGGTTTTTATTTCTTTCAATCCAGTTGTTGCCGCATCCGTCCACTCAAAGTGGTCGGTGCGTCGGAGCAGGTGATAAAGTGGCAGTGCCTTTTCTCCTAGTTTGGAGATGAAACGGCTCAATGCGGCCACGCACCCCGCTAGCTTTTGGACTTGTTTTAAGTCTGTTGGGTTGCCAATTGTGACAGGGCCCGGATTTTTGCTGGGTTTGCTTCAACTCCTCTATTGGACACGATGAACCCAAGCAGTTTTCCGGCTGGAACACCGAAGACACATTTTTCCGGATTGAATCGGATATTGTATGTCCGGAGGTTGTCAAATGTGAGTCGTAGATCGTCCACCAATGATTTGACATGCTTAGTCTTGATGACGACGTCGTCCACATATGCCTCCGCCGTCTTGCCAATTTGTTTTTCCAGGCATGTTTGAATCATGTGTTGATAAGTGGTGCCGGCGTTTTTGAGTCCAAAAGGCATAATATTGAAGCAGACAGGCCCGTGCGGAGTAATGAATGCCGTTGCGGCCTGATCGGATTCCTTCATCTTAATCTGATGGTATTCGGAGTATGCGTCGAGGAAACACAGTGAATCGTGTCCTGCAGTTGCATCGATGATTTGGTCAATGCGGGGCAGTGGGAAGGGGTCCTTAGGTAGGCCTTGTTGAGGTCTTTGAAATCGACACAAAGGCGCCATGATTTGTCCTTATTTGGCACCATGACCAGGTTTGTTAGCCAATCCGAGTGTTTGATCTCCCTAATGAACCCGGCTTCAAGTAGTTTGGCTAGCCCCTCCCCCATAGCTTGTCGCTTGGGTTCGGAAAATCACCGCAGCGTTTGCTTGACTGGCTTGAACCCCTTTATTATGTTGAGGTTGTGTTTGGCCAGTCTGCGTGGGATTCCTGGCATATCCGAAGGATGTGCCAGGCAAAGATGTCCCAATTCTCGTGCAGGAAAGCTCTTAGAGCGGCATCGACCGTCGGCTCCAGCTGTGCTCCAATGGCTGCTGTTTTATTAGGATCCATCGGGTGAACTTGGAATTTGACTATTTCGTCTGCTGGCTTGAAAGAAGTGGACTTAGGCCTTTTATCGAGGATTATGTCGTCTCTGTCCACTGTGGAACGCAGAGCGGTGAGCTCCTCGGCAGCAAGGGCCTTGGATAATGCCTCGAGGGCCAAGGATGCAGTTTTGTTTTCGGTGCGGAGTGCTATGTCTGGATCAGTGGTGATAGTGATAACTACGTTGGGCTCGGGCATTTTGAGCTTCGCGTACCTGTAATGGGGTATGGCTTGAAAGCGTGTGAATGCGTCTCGCCCCAACAAGGCGTGATATCCGCTATTGAAAGGTGCCACATGGAAGATTAATTCTTTGGACCTGTAGTTTTCCGGCGTGTCGAATACCACATCAAGTTTAATTTTCCCCGAGCATCGCACTTCTCGACTAGGGATAATGCCTCGAAAGGTTGTACTGCTTTGCTCGATGTGGCTCTTGTCTATTTGCATTTTATCGAGCTTGTCTTTGTAGATGAGGTTCAGTCCGCTGCCGCCGTCCATGAGCACTTTAGTAAGCCGAAAGCCCTCGACAATTGGGTTTAAGACCAAAGCGGCTGGTGTGCGGACTGATCGAGCCCTTGGTTCGTCGTTGGCGGCGAAAGTTATCACCGTATCGTTCCAAGGATTTGCTGCGGCTATTTGTTCGATTTCGGCGAGGTCGTGAAGTGCCCTTTTACGCCGATTATTTGAAGAAAAGGTCTCGAAGACCGTAAAGACATTGAGATCATCATCCTTCGGAGAGTATTTCTCTGAGGTTGTATTGGTGAGGATAGTCTCACCGCTCTTGGCCACCTGCCGGAGTACCCAACATGCCCGAAGGCTGTGTGTTGGTTCGGAATTCGGCGTCATGTGTATCTGACAGTGTTTGTCAAGCCATTCATCAAGGACAGTTTTGTGTCCCGTTAAGGGCTTAATTTTCTTATCCGCGGGATGATGATCGGGTGCCCCGCAAGTGTGCATCCTTTTTGCCCGTCCGGTGGGTGGCTTAAAGGCGGGTGGTTCCCACAGGGCTGTCTGGGCTTTCCAGGCGCTTTCCATTGCACAATATTTCTGTACTATGTGCGCCAATTCTACAAAGTATAGTATGCAGCGTTGGTTGAGGGCATTGAAGATCCCCTCGTTCGTACAGTTGTGGCAGAATACAAACTGCGTCGTCGTCGCAGCAATCTTTGATCTTGTTTTTAACAAGGAGGAATCTGGCCCAAAAGTGATGGACTGTTTCCTAAGGTTGCTGCCATACGTACATTAGGTCGCATATGTCTGGAGGACCGGAATTGCTTGGTGAGTATTGCTTGTGGTGGGTGTGCGGGCTTAAATCGGAACCCTGACCCACTGTGGAATCCGGAGATTGAAGAATTTCTGGGGTTACTAGACCCGGATCCGGAGTGTCCTGGGAGTTTTAAGGCTCAACGCCTGGTTTTCTCTTCGGAGGACAGGAGATCTCTTCCCGAAGATGGGTATCCGGCTCGCAAGGCTCGGAAATTCGAACATAGCTTGTTCTCAGCATAGGGGGAGAGGTATCCTTGGCTTTTTCCTCCACAATCGCCATTAGATGGGTGATCGATGGGGACCTGATTTCCCTCTGATCGGGTTTAAGCCCAATCCGATCATAGTCTGTTGCGACCCCCCGGGCGGTGATGCGATCTAGCAGTTCGTTCAAAGACGAAATATCTGCCGGATCCATCTTGTCGGAGTGTTCGAGGCCGATGCAGGGATGATTTTTGGCAAATTGGGGGAACGCCTTTGTCTTAACGGCCGAGCGGGCACCCATGGTAAAACTGCCGAGCTAGAGGATATGTCCGGGAACTAGGGCCCTTCTAGAGGTGATTTTGTCATTGATGATAAGGCGAGCCATCGATCCTTCTGTTGTCGACACAGAGGAACTCTCAATGAAATCACCAATGTCGGTGTCAAAACTGGCCGATCTTGGGTAGGGGGTCCCAAACTGTGTGTCTAAGGATCGAAGGTAACAGGAGACAGGGGACACGATGTTTACCCAGGTTCGGGCCCTCTTAATGAAGGTAATACCCTACTTCCTGCTTGATGGACTTTGATGAGTATAGGGGTTACAAGAGTCGATCTACCTCGAGATCGTAATGGCTAAACCCTAGATGTCTAGCCTGTATGATTTGTGATTGCCTCTACGGACCAAACCCTCTGGCTTATATAGACACCGGAGGGGGCTAGGGTTGTACAGAGTCGGTTTACAGAGAAAGGAAACTATACATCCGATCGCCAAACTTGTCGTCTACGCAAAGGAGAGTCCCATCCAGACACGAGGGAAGGCCTTCTATCTTGTATCTTCACGGCCCATCAATCCGGCCCATGTCACATAGCCCGACCATCCGAGGACCATTAATCCAGGACTCCCTCAGGGAGGACGGTGGTCGCCGCTCCTACGGCAGCGAGGCCCTGACTGTGCTAAGTGAGGTGAGGCAGGCGAAGCGAGCGAGGTGGAGAGGGGGAGGAGCGAGTGGGAGGGGAGGTATCCCGAGGCGCGCTCGTGGCAGCCTTATCCCCCGCGGTGGCGCTGTAGCAACGAAGACGGCGAGGTGGTCCGGTAGAAACGGGCGCCCGGCTTGGGTCGGGGGGAACAGGGGGAGGAGATAGTTGGCCGGGGAGGGGGAGTGGGTCACTAGGCTAGCTCGTGTGCACTACTAGGGAAAAGGCTACTAGTAGTGCGAATAAATTGGCTACTAGTAGAGTGGTTACCCGCGCTACTAGTATCGCGCTACAGCTAAAACTTAGTAATAGCGCAGGTGTCACCCGCGCTACTACTAAAAAGTTAGTAGTAGCGCGGGTGCCACCCACGCTGCTACTATTTGGAACCCGCACTACTAATAACAGAATAGTAGTAGCGCATCTATTATACTACACGCTACTAGTATCCTAAATACTAGTAGCGCACATTTTCCCCCACGCTACTACTAACAAATTAGAAATTAAAAAAATAAAAATTAGATGCAGTATTCATGGTTGAAGATCAAAGACAGATCCAGTGCAAAATAAATTAAGGTCACGGGACCATTTTAACACTTGCACCGTTCATGGATGCAACAATGAACATCTCAACTGGAAGAGATCACAAGATTCCATTTAACAGTAAACGCACACAACCAAAGGTGGGTACCTTTCCTAGTGTTCAACCAGCAGCCTAAACATACCACTTCTCTAGATGTATCTACCAAGGCTCGGAGTTCAGACGCCGGTGGACCCAAATCCTCCCTCCCCCCAAACGGTGGTATCGAAGTCCTCCACCTCGGTGACCTCTGGTTTCACAATCACCTGGACGATCATCTATGCGACGTAGTCGCCGAGCTTCGCGGCGAACTCCACCTCCAAGTGGTTGAAGAGCATGACACCCACCGGGCAGCGGTACTCTGCGCCAATCACCCCTGCGGCCACGACGGAAAAGTGAAAACTTGTTAGTGCTCGTCAGCGTCCAAATCCAATAGGGTATTTTCTTACTTTTTAGCACATGGACACGAATCAATAGTAACAGCCGGAAGCTGGTCCTTACTTGTTGCACGAGACATGAAGAAGGGCGCGTCCCCTCCTTGTTGCACGAACGAATCAAAGGAAGACACTGCCGCGAGCCGTGAAGAAGGCCAGGTAAATAGCTCATGTGCCTGAAGTTGTAAGGAATCTTAATACAATGAACTCATAGTAATGCATAATAACAAGAAAAAAGAAAAAACTAACCATGAATCCTAAAGAAAAAGATCATTCTATGAGTCAGGTTGACAGTTTTGAGACACATGAAAGGATAATGTTGGTAACCGTATTCATTAACAAGAACAATAGGCCGAGATTTCTCAAATGACATTTGTTTCACCAACAATGATTAATGACGAGGCATGTAAGATTTACCTGAGCAGCATCAGCCTACCCTCTTGTCCTTGCAAGAACTTGAAGGCCAAGGTTCTTAGCTTTCTCCCTACTAACTAGCACAAGTGCGGCAGCACCGTCGCTATATATTAAAAGATGAGAATGGCAGTACAGTTACACTTCCAAGTAAACATTGCTTTACATAACTTACATTAACCATGGGGAAAGCCTATAGTTACATAACTTATATTAACCATGGAGAAAGCCTACGAATTAATATAGCTTCAGTACACTCTTAAGATGATACATTTACTACGAAAGATATACAACATAGTTTGGCTGATGCTGGATACCAAAGGTAATCTGATCGTTTAAAAATAAAGCTACAATGCTACACTAAGAAGTATCCTAATCCTGAATGAAATTGCGAGTTTAGAGGTATTAAACAGACACATTTCAATCACAGAGATCAATATCTACTAGCTTAAATTCAAATGCTTTAGTCAAGATTGTGATATCATACTGGTACTAAGAGACAATATTTCATACAGAAGAAGAGTTTTGTGGCCCTCAAATAATGCACACACTGGAATAAGTTCTTAGTTTCTTTGATGGTTTGACTGCCACTTCATCCAAAAGATTTATGTACAGAACAAAGAATAATTAAAATTGAATTTCAACAGACATATATTTCCTTGCATGTTGTGTTGTACAGTAGCTACGGGAATAAATATACGAAAACGAAAAAGTGAGTGATTTCTATTAACAAGACATCACCTATGTAATATTGTATTGAGACAGACAAGCTAAAATATTAGAACAATTTTGTATAGCAATAACACCAATAGCTCATCATATTAGTAAGTGAAGAATTGTGGGGCACAAATTACTAAGCTCGATGGAGTCAAAGAAATGAGCATGCTTATCCGTGAAGAACAATTAGCGAGTCATTAATCTCTGAGCTCCTAGTTGCTTTAGAAGATTTATAGTGTACAAATGGTGGTATGTTTTAACTGAATTTTCAGCTCCTGGTGTTTTTGTTACAACAAGGATGTAGTGCCCAGCTAAGAGTTTCGAGAACAATTAAGAGGTAAAATCTATTGTTATCGATCTCAAGCACTACTACTTTTTCCAGGAGCTACAAACAAATGAACCTGCTACACGAACTCATATTATGTCTTGCATTAATATTCTCCACGTGTTACACATATACACCATCAACTATTTGTCATGGAAAGCATTAGGGATAAGGTACAGTTTCTTAGCGGCTCACCATAAAAAGCTAGAAACTGCTACAGTTTGTAAGCATGCATAGATGTGTTATATGAGGACATTTTACATCAAGAGCTTGATGAGACAAGACCACCTAGGAAGATAAAACATGGACATAGCATGTCTGGCACTTATGCATAGTCAACTTGCAAATGTCTATCATTTCTCCCTTGCGGGTTTCCTTAAAAATACTTCTACGGCTTCTTAACAACCACCAGGCAGTAAAATTGCCCTATGGATACATATTTTCCTACCATTTGGTAAGACAATATGAAGATGATATACTGTGCAGTAGTAAACTTCAGAACATTCATAAACATTTGGACCTATAGACCATCCATATATAGCCCATTGCCCCTGCTCAATAGCTTCAACTCCAAGCCATAGTTGAGTCAGTTGTATCCAACATGCTATCTACATTATGGTACTTCCAATTGCTCTACAAAAGACCTACGTAGTTCATAGCAGATGGGAGAAATATCTCGTCTTTGATGCCCTTGTACATACATGGTTTCGTACAGCTGTACCAACCCGTTCGTGCCCAGGTGTGAGCGTTCAAATTGGGCAGTGAAGTGCAGCAGTGAACTGTCTGAATCTACGAACCAGTAACTTATCTTCACGGTCATAACCTGTATAGAGGATATTTTTGTTCTGTTTCATGGTTGGATACCATTGGAGGTCTGAATCTGATTACGATGAGTTCGAGTAGAACTTAAATGATAATGGATGATAGAATACTACTCCTATATATGTTTCAGTTTGCAGATCTCCTGTGATACTAATTTTTCAAGTTCAGTCAAACAATACTGAACCTGTGAACAACCATATGTTTGATTGGAGCTCATTTACTAAATTTTTTTTTGTGTTCTTAAAATGTTCCAGACCAATCTGCTAAGCTATAGAGTTCTGTAAACATGCCATTCAAAAGCACACTCCAATGCAATTACCTTGGTAACATTTCCTCCTGCAGATTTTTCTTGCCCCAATTGAACTCCCTTAGCAGCTTTCTTCTTCTTCTTCTACAAGGACGAAGACCAGATGAACTTTAGCATTCTTGTGATAAACATGGTACATAGTAGATTCTGGAAGTAGTCAAATACCTCCAAGTCTGACAGCCACCGGTTGCGATACGCGACATCAAGCACGGTCTTCTCAGCTAGCCCATATGAGATGTTGAGGCACTTTATGACATTGTCTTGGCCGGCAAACCTTGAGAAGGAGGGAATTCATGGAGGATTTGACAGAGGAGTCACTAAAGTCTTGGTGTCACTCAAAACAGAGGCTCTGCTATGCTCTGCTCTGCTAATAGAGAAGGCTTTTAGCCATGGCGACAACAACGCGTACGTACCGGGAGAGACCTCAGAGCAACAGCTGGTCCTCCTCCACAGACCATGCCGTGGACGGCTTGCCGCCGCACCATGCCGCCACATGAACCATCCAGGCCACTTCCGCCATCTCGCAGTGAGGCACTTGCTGCAGCGCGTCGAGGTATGTGGTCGGTGGCGTCGGTGGATAAGCGCCGCCCATCAGAGAGTCAGTGGCTCTGACCTAGGCGCAGCCCAGACCCGGGGAAACGGAGAACGATTGGCTCGGCACGTCCGTGGGGAGCACGGGTGGCGAGTCGGCCATGGCCGGTTGGTACACCACCAGCGATCTCATCAGTAACCGGCGGTGGGCACGGCCTCGGCGGGGGCGGTCCCGAAGCAGCAGGCGAGCTCGGCCCGCCGGGGGAGGAGGGGCCGGGACGAGAAGGAGTGGAGGAGGCGGATGTGCTGGGCCCCCGAAGTGGTGGGGAAGCGGCGGCGCGCGGCGAGGAGAACGCCCGAGCCCCCAGTGCCGACGGAGGTGGAGCCCGCCATGAGGAGGAGTGACTGGAGGGACGAACGTGGTGGCATGGCGAGATGGAGTGGGGGCTAGGGTTTCGGGGCGATGGGCATGGTCGGAATCAGGAGAGTGTCGATCAATTTGGCCCTGCGCGCCCGTACACATGTCCGCTACTACTATGGTGTGTCCACTTAGTAGTAGCGGGGGTTTGTAGCCCGCGTTACTACTATCAAATTAGTAGTATCGTGGGATTTATACCCTCGCTAATACTAATTAGTAGTAGCGTCTTTTTTTAACAAGCGCTACTGAAGGTTTTTCTTAGTAGTGATGGGCCGAGGACCAGAGGCAGAAAGCTTTTTTTTTCTCATATCTCTGTTTTCTTCTTTTATCTATTAACAGAGATAGAAATTGATTATTTAGGGTAGCCAAAAGAGCTGAGAAAATGGTGGGACTTAGCCTATTAAGTAGTTTGCATTTTGAGGCAGTGCCACAAAAGGTTAGGAGGCCAAAGGAATCCATTTGCATTTTTCGCAAATAAATTAGCACTTTAAAAATACTAAAATTACAGTGTATTAATTGCTATAGTCCATCTTAGCTCTTAGGTGATGTTGTTTTCCCTAACAATTAAATGTTATGGAATTTTGGCTAAATGATGAACTATTTTGCAGCAGCTTTTGTGCAACTCCATATTTCACTTGCAAATTGAATTTGATTTCAAAGTTGAAATTCAAATGATATTCGAATCAAAGGTGATCAAGCACTATTTAGAAAAATGATTAGATTAATCACAGAGGGTTACAGTTGCATGACACTAGGGGTGTTAGAAATATAAGCCATAGAAACTAGAAAACAAGCAAACTATGCATTGAAAACATAATCTGCCAAAAACAGAACAGTCTGTAGTAATCTGTACTCCAACCATACTTATGTAACACCAAAAAATCTAAAAAATTAAGAAAATGTAGGAAATTTGTATATCAATCTTGTGTAAAAAAATTCAGATCAAAAGTTTCTGTTTTTGCATAGAATCAAATCAACTATCATCCACACTATCCCAAAGGCTTTACTTGGCACTTTATTGAAACAAAAGCTATAAAACTTGATTACTAAAGTAGCTTAATCATGTGAACACATAAAAACAGTAGGGGTAAATGTTGGGTTGTCTCCCAACAAGCACTTTTCTTTAATACCTTTTTAGCTACGCATAAAGATTTCAATGATGCTCACATAAAAGATAAGAATTGAAACATAACAAGAGCATCATGAAACACATGGCAAGCACATTTAAGCCTAACCCACTTCCTACACATAGGATTTTGTGAGCCAATAACTTTTGGGAGCAAGAATCGACTAGCATAGGAAGGCAAAACAAGTGCAACTTCAAGATTTTAAACACATAGAGAGAAAACTTGATACTATTGCTATATGTAATTGCATATGTTCCTCTCTCACAATAATTTTTAGTAGCATCATGAATGAACTCAATAATATAACCATCACATAAAGCATTCTTATCATGATCCACAAGCATAGAAATTTTATTGCTCTCCACACAAGCAAATTTATTCTCGTTCATAGTAGTGGGAGCAAACTCAACAAAATAACTATCATATGATTGAAAATTAATATCATGATGACAAGTTTCATGCTTATCAATACTTTTTATAGCATACATGTCATCACCATAATCATCATAGATAGGAACTTTGCTGTCATAATCAATTGAAACCTCTTCCAAAATAGTGGATTTGTCATTAAATAAAGTCATGACCTCTCCAAATCCACTTTCATCAATATAATCATCATAAATAGGAGGCATGTTTTCATCATAATATTTTTTCGCATAAAAACTTGGGGGACTAAAAATATCATATTCATCAAATATAGCATCCCCAAGCTTATGGCTTTGCATATTGTTAGCATCATGGATATCCAAAGAGTTCATACTAATAACATTGCAATCATGCTCATCATTTATGCCAAATATTTTATTGAATTATTCTTCTATCAATTGAGCACAATTTTCCTTTCCATCATTCTCAAGAAAGACATGATAAAGACGAATAATATGAGGCCACCTCAATTCATTTTTTGTAGTTTTCTTTTATAAATCAAACTAGTGATAAAATAAGAAACTAAAAGATTTGATTACAAGATCTAAAGATATACCTTCGAGCACTCACCTCCCCAGCAGTTGTGCCAGAAAAGAGCTTGATGTCTACTATACACAACTTGTTCTTGTAGAGTCGTGTTGGGCCTCCATGCGCAGAGTTTTGTAGGACAATAGCAAATTTCCCTCAAGTGGATGACCTAATGTTTATCAATCCGTGGGAGGTGTAGGATGAAGATGGTCTCTCTCAAACAACCCTGCAATCAAAGAATAAAAAGTCTCTTGTGTCCCCAACACACCAAATACAATGGTAAATTGTATAGGTGCACTAGTTCGGCGAACAGATGGTGATACAAGCGTAGTGATTATAGTAGATATTGATTTTTGTAATGGGAACAATAAAAAACAACAAGGTAGCAATTGATAAATGGAGCATAAATGGTATTGCAATGCTTGAAAATGAGGCCTAGGGTCCGTACTTTCACTAGTGTAATCTCTCAACAATGCTAATCTAATTGGATCATATAACCATCCCTCAATGTGCGATGAAGAATCACTACAAAGTTCTTATATAGCGGAGAACATAAGAAGAAATTGTTTGTAGGGTATGAAACCACCTCAAAGCTATTCTTTCCGATCAATCTATCCTAGAGTTCGTACTAAAATAACACCAAGCTATTCTTTCTGATCGATCTAACCAAGAGTTCGTACTAAAATAACACCATATGATACACATCAACCAACTCTAATATCACCTAGATACTCCAATGTCACCACAAGTATCCGTGAGTTGATTATACAATATGCATCAAACAATTTCAAATTCATAATACTCAATCCAACACAAAGAACCTCAAAGAGTGCCCCAAGATCCCTACCGGAGAAACAAAGACGAGAATGTGCATCAACCCCTATGCATAGATTACCCTAATGTCACCTCGGGAATCTGCGAGTTGAGTGCCAAAACACATATCAAGTGAATCAATATGATATCGCATTATCACCATGGGTATTCATAGCAAGACATACATCAAGTGTTCTCAAATCCATAAAAGTATTCAATCCAATAAAACAAAATCTCAAACAGAAAACTCAATTCACAACAAGATAGAGAGGGGAAGACACCATATGATCCAACTATATTAACAAAGCCTGCGATACATCAAGATCGTGGCATCTCAAGAACACGAGAGATAGAGAGAGAGAGAGAAATTAAACACATAGCTACTGGTACAAACCCTCAGCCCCGAGGGTGGACTACTCCCTCCTCATCATGGTGGCCGCCGGGATGATGAAGATGGCCATCGGTGATGATTCCCCCCTGACGGAGTGCCGAAACGGGGTCTAGATTGGTTTTTCGTGGCTATAGAGGTTTGCGGCGGTGGAACTTCTCATCTAGGGTTATTTCTGATGGTTTCTCTATTTATAGGATTTTTTGGCGTCGGTTTCACGCGAAGATGAGCCTCGAGGTGAGCACAACCCACCGGGGCAAGTCGGCCCCCTTAGACGTGCCCTGGTGGGTTGTGCCCTCCTCGTGGCTATTCTGGCCCTCCCATAAACCTTCGGGGGGTCTATTTTGTTCCAAAAAATAATCAAAAAGTTTCAGTTCATTTGGAGAACTTTCATTTCTGCACAAAAAACAACACCACGGTAGTTCTACTGAAAACATCGTCAGTCCAGGTTAGTTCCATGCGAATCATACAAAAACCATATAAAATTGTTGTAAACATGGCATGAATACTTCATAAATTATAGATACGTTGGAGATGTATTAAAGGTCTTCATACATAACGATCATCTCTACTCCTTCTCTCTCTCTCTATGAGGTGATTCATCTATTCTATTCTTCCTTCTAGGTGAATCGTCTCTTTTCTTGTGAGGTGTCGTACACTCATTGGAATAGTGTCCGGGTCTTCCACAACTGTAGCAATTACGGTCACAACTTGATGGTCTTGTTCATATTGTCTTGAGTTGGAGCTTCTCTCTTTGCTTCTATTCTTGTAGAACTTATCGACATTCTTCACCATTAGAGTTATGTCCTCATTGGATACTAGCTTGTCACTTGATGTTGTAGGAGCATCGCTTGAGGCTTTGTATGCACCACTTGACTTGTTGTGGAGCTCCTCCATGTCCTTAACTAATGTCTCATGAGCAACAATCCTTCCAATGACTTCTTTGGGCTTGAGATCTTTGTAGTTGGGCATCATTTGGATCAATGTGCACACGATATCATATTTTCCATCCAAGGCTTTACATATCTTCTTGATGATGAACTTGTCGGTCATCCCTTCACTTCCTAATCCGGAAATCTCATTTGTGATGAGAGCGGGCCTAGAGTACATTTCGGTGACTCCTTCACCATCCTTCATATTGAACATGTCAAGTTGACTTTGAAGCACATCCAACTTAGATTCCTTGATGGACTCGGTACCTTCGTGCATATCAACCAAAGTATCCCAAATTTCCTTTGCATTCTCGAGGTGGCT